ATGGTAATCAGGACCTTGAAATTGAATGTGCATGAACTGTTGAATGTAAAACAAATTTGCTTTGTAAATTTGCACCCCCAGCACTATATATAGGAGCTCTGGTAGCATAGTGCCTAAGGCACTTGACTGCTAACCAGAAAGCTGGCGGTTCAAACCCACCAGCCACTCCTCTGAAGGAAGGTTGGGCAATCTACTTCTGTAGTGATACTGCCTCGACAACCCAAGGAGGGGTAGCTATGAGTCAGGTCCGACTCAACGGCACATAACAACAAGAACAACAAGCACTCTATATATATGAGTGCATACTCATTGCATAAGATTCAAGCCATACATAGAATAAATTTTGTAAGTTCTTCATCCTTACCCCACCCCCACCTTCTCCTGCAATTCCTTCTCCAGAAGTAACCACTATTAACATATACAATGGAAGGTCTACTTCTGTTGAGATTATAGCCAAGATTTGTATAATTTACATCAATAACACACTAAGTTCATACAATTTTAATTCCCATCTATTAAACTTTGACCATGTGGTCTTATATAAGGCAAGTATATAGTTTTCCTTTAGCACTTTGAAATATTAAAACTATTTACCTAACTTTTAAAAAATTCTTCAGAGTCAGGTAGACTGCTGTTATAAACTAATAGTGTTGACATAAGTCACATGACTTTTAGCCTGTAGATATTTTTAAAATCAATATCTTCATCCTGTGTATTTAGGTATTTCCAGTGAATAGGTCATTGCTCTTGCACAATTCTATCCTGCAATCTTTGAGTTGTTTCTGTCAACAAGGCCATATTTCCCAACTACTGACTCTTCTTTGTCTACAACTTTTACATTCCAATCACTAGTAATTATCAATGCATCTTGATTGCATGTTTGACCAATTTCAGATATAAGAAGCTGGTAAAAATCTTCCATTTCTTTGTCTTTGGCATTAATGTTTAGTGTGTAAATTTGAATAATTGTCATATTAACTGATCTTTCTTTCTAGGTATATTATGTTATCACTGGCAGCATTGTACTTCAGGGAAGATCCTGCAGTGTTCTTTCTGACAATGAATGTGATTCCATTCCTCTTTAATTTGGCCTAGTAGACCATATGCTTGAAAATGGTGATACTAATCCATTTCAGCTTACTAATATCTAGGATCTCTATCTTCAACAATTCCATTTCATTTTTAACAACTTTTAATTTTCCTAAGTTCTTACTTTATACATTCCACATTTTGATTATTAATGGATGTTCTGAATATCAATGGATGCTGAGTATCACATAATAGAATTTTGCAAGACCAATGACCTATTCATTGGAAATACCTATCTTCAACAATATAAACAGTTACTACATGCATGGACCTCACCAGATGGAATACACAGGAACTAAATAGACTGCAACTCTGTACGGAGACGATAGAGAAGCTCAATATCATCAGTCAGAAGACCAGAGTGGACTGTAGAACACACCATCAATTGGTCATGTGCAAGTTCAAGTCGAAGCTGAAGAAAATTAAAACAAGTCCATGAGAGCCAAAGTACAACCTTGAGTATATTCAACCCAAATTTAGACACCATCTCAAGAACAGATTTGACACATTGAACACTAATGACCAAAGACCAGTCACATTGTGGAATGACATCAAGTACATCATACATAAAGAAAACAAAAGGTCATTAAAAAGACATGAAAGTGAGAAAAGACAATAATGAATGTCAGAAGAAACTGTGAAATTTGCTCTTGAATGGAGAGTAGCTAACGCAAATGGAAGAAATGATGAGATGAAAGAGCCAAAGAGAAGATTCCCATGGGTGCTTGAGAAGACAAAGTAAGGTCTATAGTGAAATGTGCAAAGTCCTGGAGTTAGAAAACCAAAAGGGAAGAGCATGCTTGGCATTTCTCTAGCTGAAAAAATTGAAGAAAGAATTCAAGCCTTGAGTTGCAATATTGAAGTAGTCTTTATGCAAAATATTGCATGACACAGGAGGCATCAAAAGAAGATCAAAGAAGTACACAGAGTCACTGCACCAAAAAGAATTGATTGACATTCAGCTATTTCAGGAAGTAGCATGTGATCAACAACTGGTAGTTTTGAAGGAAGAAGTCTAAGCTGCACTGAAACCATTGGCAAAAGACAATGCTCCAGGGATTGATGCAATACCAATTGAGATGTTTCAACAAATGGATGCTGTGCTGGAAGCATGCATTCATCTGTATCAAGAAAATGAGATTTGGAAGGCAGCTACTTGGTCAACCAAATGGAAGAGATCCTTATTTGTGCCTGTTCCAAAGAAAGGTGATCCAATAAAATGTGGAAATTATTGAACAATACAATCTATATCACACACAAATAAAATTTTTTTGAAGATCATTCAAAAACGGTTGCACCAGGACATCAACAGGAAACTCCCAGAAACTGAAGTTGGATTCAGAAGCAGATATGGAATGAGGAATATCATTGCTGATATCAGATGGATCTTGGCTGAATGCAGAGAATTCCAGAAAGTTGTTTAGTTGTGTTTTATTGACTATATGAAGACATTCAACTATGCAAAACACTCAACTTAATGTTGGATTATAACAAATTATCGGTAACATTGTGAAGAAGGAGAATTCCAGACCCCTTAATTGTGCTGATGTGGAACCTGTGCATACACCTTTGAGAAGAACAAGGGAATGCTGGATGGTTGAAGATCAGGAAAGGTTTACTTCAGCGTTGTACCCTTTCACTATACTTAGTCAATCTGTTTGCTGAGCAAATAATCTGAGGAGTTGGACTATATGAAGAACATGGCAACAAGATTGGAAGAAGACTAATTAACAACTTGAGATATGTAGATGACACATCCTTGCTTGCTGAAAGGGAGGAGGACTTGAAGCATTTATTGGTGAAATTATAGTCTTAATTATGGATTACACCTCAATATAAAGAAAAAAAATCTTCACAACAGGATTAGTAAGTGACATCATGATAAATGGAGAAAATATTGAAATTATCAAGGATTTCACTTTACTTGGAACCACAATCCCCTGGAAGCAGTCAGGAGATGAAACAATGTATTGCACTGGGTAAATCTGCTGTAAAAATGTTAAAAAGCAAAGATGGCATGTTGAGGACTAAGGTGCACCTGATCCAAGTCATGGTTTTTTAATCATCTCATATGAGTGTGAAAGCTGGGCAATGAAGAAAGAAGACTGAAGAGGAATTGATGTATTTGAATTATGGTGTTGGCAAAGAATATTAAATATACCATGGAGTGGCAGAAGAACGGACAAATCTTTCTTGGAAGAAGTATACCCATGATGCTTCTTAGAAGTGAGGATGGAGAAACTTTGTCTCACGTACTTTGGACATTTTACCAGGATGGATCAGTCCCTGGAGAAAGACTTCATGCTTTGTAAAGTAGAAGGTCAGCGAGAAAGAGGAAGACCCTCAAGGAGATAGATTAACACTGTGGCTGCTACAATGGGCTCAAACCTAGCGATGATTATGATGATGGTTCAGGACCAAGCAGTGTTTTGTTCCGTTGTGTACAGGGTTGCTATGAGTAGTAACTGACTGAACAACACCTAAGACAACCACGCATCTGTGTATGTGTGTACGTATGTATGTATCATCATCATCTATCTGTTCTTAACGCATGAGTGCATTTATAATAGATGTATTCTGTCATTGCTAAAATCTCTACCACTCATTTTTGTCTTACACATTTATATTCATTTATGTTACCTACCTGGTCCCTGTAGTATTGCAGTTCCTGATTTAGATATTTATGTTTTTGGAGACATGCATTTGCTTAAGTCTAAATGAATGCTAGTAGTGAGTCATGCTATGATAGGATTTTAAATATTTCTGTGTTGGCACCATCTCCTAAAGAATTGTTAACTCGGAAGACTTTACTATTTACGTTTGGCAAGCTGTGCTTGAGCTTAATTCACCTTGACTGCTAATGTACTCGCATTCCATTTTAGTTCAAAGATTTTCCAACTCTTTTAAATTCTACTGCTGACCTTCAAAATGATTCTGAATATCACATTTGACCTTTTGTGCTATAGAAACTTTCTCATTTTATTTTGATTCTTCCTTCTTCTGGCCTCCTCTGCCCCTCCCCTGAAACCAGTTCTTTCAAAACAACCTGCTTCCCTCACTCCCTACACACAAAAAGTACCTATGTGCCAAATCTGTAAACTTGAGGACTTTGTGTGTCCTTAACCTGTATGCCCATATAGGACCAATTGGAAACATCCCGTGCCACTTTGGTTTGCCTGTTAGCTTCCTGCCAACTCTGCTCTTCTTCCAAGATCACTTGCCGTTGCTACAGCAAAGTCCATTGTAGGATATGGTCAATTTTATGTCCTAAATGTTCTGCCTTTCCCTTCCCATGGTATCTTGTTACGGTGATGGATAATTTTGGTCAGGACAAAGTAGTGGAAGGACACGATAAGAATGCTGAATGATTACCACCCAAGTGGCAGATATAACGTCTCTTTGATGAACATTAATGAGCTAGGGTGTGCTTCAGGGAAGGTACATTACAAGGACTTCCTAAGAGAACATTATGACCAGAACCTGTAATTCTTGCTTATATCCATAAGAACTGAATGTCTGTACATTCTAACATTTGCATTGCACTACTAATATTAAGTAAGAGAATAGATGGGAAACAAATAGCAGAACTTTAAGGAAGAAAGTTTTTCTTTCTTCCTTAAAAAAAAAAAAAAAAAAGACAGATGATGTTTTGAACACAGCTTTTCATAGAACATGAAAGCCTAAGAGTTCTGGCTGTTTGAAGAGGGCAAAAAACAAAACAAAACGAAAAACTGATTTTCTTTCATTGTTTAAACTAACTTTAGATTCTCCCAGGGGATTGAAGAAAAAAAAATTTTTTTTTTTTTTTTGAGAAACGGGAGTGAACTGAAAGATAGAGTTTGTGTAACAAGTACCTCAAACCACAGAAGTCACATGGGCTTTGCTACTTTTGATTACTTGTCAGAGGGTTATACTTTTAGCTTCCCCCATCCTGCCAGGTCACTCAACCATGTGCTAGCTGGTTATGTGCTAGCTATCTTTATTCACAATGTCTTTACAGAAGCTCATGCAACAGAGCAGCAATGGCAATGTGGTGGACTACTGTGCTGGTCCAGCCTACAGCTCTTATTCCACACTCACAGGCAGCCTCCCGATGGATGATAACAGAAGGATTCAAATGCTGGCAGACACCGTGGCCACTTTGCCTCGGGGACGAAAGCAGGTATGATGGCTATTTTGTACACTCAGAGTGCCTTGTTCTCTTGAGAGCAGAGTGTTATGTTTCTCTGACTTCGTGTTAAAAATCTTATTGTAGACACTTTGGAATTAGTAACTAAGAGTAGGGAGAAGAGGAGTGCAGAGAGCTGGTGGACCAGTCCAAAGAACTGAGACCATATAAAATGATGTTTTACCAGGAAAAACTTAAAAGTAGATTGTTTCTCTCATTTAAAGAGGTGTTAAGGTAAAATGAAAATCACTGAGTACATTAAACTTGAAGGTGGCTTATGTAGACCCAACCAGTATGAGAATTGTTGGTCTTTTTTCCCTTCATGTCTCCCGTTGACAATTTCTCTCAGATCTTCACTCCCAGTCCTTAGTAATTAGTCATTTCAGTTCATAATCAAGTGAGGATACTTTTTCTTGAGGATAAGTTTTCTTGGCTAAGGAAGTTATCTTTAGCTCTGGGGTGCTGCTGCATGTCTCATGCTATTAGGAATTAGGACTTTCCTTAGATGAGAGAAACACTACATACAGCCTAGCAAGCGCTAGGTTGACAATGAGCTTGGCCATTTACTAACAGAGGACCTTGAACCAGTTATTTCACTTGTATCAAGTGAAAACTGTAACAAATCAATTTTCTTTTTTTTTCTAAAATGAAGATAATAATAGAATTACCCGTTTTGGGTCTCTATAGTGACTGACATGTAGTATGTGCCCAGGAAAGTCTACATTGTGTGATAATTTTTACTGAAAGGATGAGAAATCATTTGGCAAAATAAATATATGTCCAACTAAATTTGTATTGCATTTATTTTTTTGTTCTCCAACTTAAAATATGCAAAAAACTACATTTTAAAGTAAAAACATCTTTTCTTGTTTTGGTTATATAACTTGCTAAAATGCCCCAAGTGCATATTTAAATTCAGATACAGCACTTGTAGAGAAAATATTTAGAATTACTTTAAATAATAATTTTTTTCCCCTTAAATTCTGCATATACATCTTGTGCTCTCTTTAAGTCCTAATTTCAGGACTAAAAAGTTACAACAGGATGTGAGAGTCATGATCTTTTGTGGTGATGTGCGTTACCTGATTCTTTGGTGTTTTTCATAATAGAAGTAAGGACTTAATCCACTATGGTTTAGATTATCTATCTTTTTCTATCCAGAGTGCTTTCATGATATTAGTGATAATCATGTTATCATATATATGATAATCAAAATTAATGATAATGTAATGATGAGTCGGGGCCGACTCGACGGCAAATAACAACAACAACAACAAATGATGAATATTTCTGTAAATTTACAATCTGTCTGAAAATAAATCAGCTGTGTGAAGTATCAAAATATTTATTCAGTTTTCAGATATACAACAATCAGGTATTCTTTCTGTTATGAAACTACCAGACAAATATAGTTGATTAGGTTAGGCTATGATTTCATTCTTTTGCAGAATTTTTACTGCTGAAGATAGCAATTTTTGTATTAGTGTGGGAACTTTTTATTCCCTGCAACTTCATTCATTTTATCTAAAATGCCTGGCATTTCAATGCAACAGATAGTTTCTAAGCACCCGCTAGGAGATGGATTATGCTAAGTACAAGGGGTACAAAGTTGAGAAGAGCACCTTTCCCTCCCTTACAGGTTTTAGAGTTCATTGGTAGAAACAATGGGCATTATACAAAGTGAAACAAAGTGAATCCAAGTACATGTGTCTGAATGTAACCTTGAAGAATAGATATACCAAATATTGAAGGGTATTGCAGAGCAAGGGAATAATTTTAATGCTGAGGCATTAAATAAAGTCCTGAGGACTTTAGGGCATGCTTGGGTAACAGCACATTATTTAAAGTGTATCAGAAGAATCCAGTAGGTGTCTGAGTGGGAGGTTGGTGGGAGGCCACAGAACTAGGCTGCTTTAGAGAACACTTGAATGATTTCCCTGAGGAAGCAGTAATTTGACCCACACCTAAGCACCTGCTAGGTAGCCACTGGAATTTTGGAGCATTGGAGGGATTAAGGAACCTTATTCTAAAAATGTGGTATGTTGATAAGTGGGTGGAGACTAGTGGTGAGAGAGCACTGTTGGAATAGTTGGGGAAAGAGGCGATGTGAGAATGGACACATCAAAAGACTCATATAAAAGGCAAAGAACACAAGGAATCACATATACGTGGTTTTAAACTTGAGAGAGTATAGCATGAACTGAGAAAAGACAATTAGTATAAGAGGCTGGTTATAAGAGAAAGATAATGAGAGGGAATTAGGCATATGCAATATATGCACATACACATATACATACTGTCATGGATCAAAATGTGTTCCCCAAAAACATGTGTCAACTTGGCTAGTCCATAATTCCCAGTATAGTGTGATCATTCTCCATTTGTGCTATGTTGTAAATCCTAACCTCTGTCTGTGGTTAATGAAGCAGGTTGTTGTTATTATGTGGCATTGAGTCAGACCCGACTCATAGTGACCCCTCCTTGGGTTTCTGAGGTGGTATCACTATGGAAATAGATTGCCCAACTTTCCTTCCTAGGAGTGGCTGGTGGGTTTGAACCGACAGCCTTCTGGTTAGCAGTCAAGTGCCTTAGGCACTATGCTTCCAGAGCTCCTAATGAAGTAGGAGTAGATTTGTTAAAGAGGATTAGGCTATGTTTGTTATGCTAATGAGGCAGGATTAGGGTGGGATGCATCACTCTTAAGTCATTACCCTTACTCAAGTCACAGCCCTGAGCCAGTGTAAGAGCAGTTTTCCTGGGGAGCAGCCTACATATTTTATCTATAAGAGATAAAAGGAGAAAGAAGCTAGTAGAGAGTGAGAGACCTTGGTACCACCAAGAAAGAAGAGCTAGGAGGAGAGTCAATCTTTAGGCCCAGGGTCCCAGTGCTGAGAACCTCCTAGACCTAGGGGAAGATTGATGCCAAGATATATGGAAATCTCCAAGAAATGTCTGGCCAACAGTTGTTGGAAAGAGACAAAGCCCTTTCACCAGAGCCCACAGACGGAAAAGCCTTGCCCTAGAGCTGGGACCCTGAATTTGGACTTCTCTCTTCCTAACATGTGAGAGAATGAGTTTCTATTTGTTAATTCCATTGATTTGTGGTGTTTTTCTTATGCAGCACTAGATAACTAAGATACATGCATGACTCTACACCAATTAATTTAACCATTGCTCTGATAGTTGCTGTGTCTTCTCTGGCCCCTTTAAACATCTTTCCAAGGGTAAATTCCCTCACTCAAACAATTTTTTTTTACTGTTTTATTGTTAAATAAGCAAAACAAAATCTCTTGTACACGATACTTCTCATTCTGTACAATTATCATCAATGAAATTTAATGCAAATTTATCCCAAGATCTGAGATTTTCCCAAAATGAATGTCGTTTCCTTTAGCTGATATTTAGAGTACGCTCATCCATTGGGCACTGACTGAACAAAATTTCTGTGAAGCTATCAAATGAACAGGTGTGTTCTCTACCCACTGTTATTTTCAACACTTTCAGAGTTGACGTCAACAATTCATACTTCTCGTTATTGCTGGCTTTGGTTTCTGCAAAGCTGTATCTGGTTACCCTGTAGTTTCAGATTAGGCTTCGGATTCATTTGAGTGTTTACACTCAGCCTTGTTTAAAAATAGGTTTCTGTGTGTGCATATTATCTCAATACCTGTATTTGTCAGAGGTGTCAGACACCCCAGCACGGCTCTTACTTCTGAACGTAGTTTCAATTTCCTGCAATGAAAAATCCTGTAGGAAAGAGAGAAGAGGAAATAAGATAAATAGCCTTTATAAATGTGGAAATGCCAATGAATATCACCCTTTCTCCTAAGGGTGATAGTTTGCTTTGGAAGGCAGTTTTCACCAAGAGCTGTTTGTACTGAGAACCAGGACCTGACAAACAGGCCAGAAGCTTGAATGTACCTTAGTGGTACCACAAACTGACCATCTTTGCCTAATTTTCTTTCAGGTTCTCAAAACATTTCTAAACGCGCAGCTTCTGATAGCACTTAAAAGTTCAGATACAGACTAAACTCTCTAACATGTCTTTTTCTGGGATGAGTTCTGTCCTTCAGACTCCCAAGTGTTCCTAGCTACATGAAATAGTTTTGATAATTTAAATGAATACTTTTAGCTAGAAAACTGTATTAGTTTCATTACAAAAGAATTTGAAAAGTCTTCTTTA